GATGAGGTCCCGCCGCGCTGCCTCACCCCGCCTCTCCTCTCGCCCCTAGGAAGATCTTCCTCCTCACCCAGCCCAGGGACAGATGCATCCCCTTTCCCTTCTCTGGCGCCAAACTCCTGCAGCCCGGGTAGGCACCTCCCAAACTGCCCCTGGTTGTTGTTGCAGCTTTTTGCTCTCCCGGAGCGCTCCGCGGGAGCAGGGCACGCCGCGCTCCTGTGCTGGTTTTGGGGCTGGGGGGGGGTGCGGCGGGACTTGGGGTGGTTTCTTTCCGAAGGGTTGGAAAAAGGGAACGTCTAGACACCCCGGAGTGTGCTGGGGCCGGGATGGGCAGGGCTGCTGGGGCAGGCATCAGCCAAGATGTCTTTGGTTTACTAGCAGCTGGTTGATCCCTGCTGATCCCTGCTTCTTTCCACAGGATCCTTTCCCCACCACTGGGAATGAGGGTCTTTCCTGCCTGTTGGCTCCCAGCCTTACTCCCCGCAGGTGTGTATCTCCAGAGCCGCTGCTTCCAGTCCTGCTGGAGCTCAAAATGCTCCTTCCTGGCAAATTTGGGGAAACAGATGCAGAAAACCCTGCTTGGGGCGTGGGGGGTGTGATTTTGAGCACTCTGGTGCTGCTTGTCCCTGGAATAAACCCTGCTGAGCTCCTGCACTCCTAATTCCTTTTTTTATTCTGTTTTTCTGCTGGCAGGAGAGGTTTCTCACTGGTGCTGGGCAGCTGAGCAGCGTGCTGCCCACCATGGCTGGTGAGTCCGGGGGGGATATAAATCCTCCCAACTGAAACACGAGAGTGCCCACGGGGGTTGTTGACAGCTGGGGGTTTAGGAGTTGGGGAGGGGGATGGTGTGTGTTTAGTGCCCAGGGTGAGATCCCACCTGGAGGTGCCCTGCTGAGCCCTTGGGAAGCCCGGGGGGATGCTGAGCCCACCCCACCCCCCCTCACTGCAGCCCCTCCCAACACTGCAGGCTGGTTTAGGCGGCTCCTGCACAGGCCCAAGCCCAGCTCGGTGGAGAGGAGCAGCTCTGCTTCATCCTCGCCTTCCTCATCCTCCGCTGAGAGCTCTGGCTCCTCTCCCAGCACAAGCCTAGTGAGATCCATCCGTCTGTCTCCTGTCTTGGCGCCGGACATCAGTGCCTCCAGTAGCGCCCGCTGGGCCAAGAGCTACGACATCTGCATCTGCCACAGCGAGGTGGACCTGGAGCTGGTGGAGGAGCTGGTGTCCTACCTGGAGGGGCAGCCTGAAAGCTTCCGCTGCTTCCTCCAGCTGCGGGACGCCACGCCGGGGAGCGCGGTGATGACGGAGCTGTGTGACGCTGTGCAGAACAGCCACTGCTGGGTCATGCTCATCACCCCCGGCTTCCTCCAGGACCCTTGGTGCAAGTACCAGATGCACCAGGCGTTGGCTGAAGCTCCCATGGCCAACGGGCGCACCATCCCAGTGCTGAAGGGCGTGGATCGGAAGGATTATCCCAGGGAGCTGCGGAACCTCTACTACATCTCCATGGCGCTGAAGGAGAACAGCTTCAGGCAGATCAGGGACACCGTTGTGCGCTGTGAGTGTGCCTGGGAATGGTCGTGGAACGTCAGTCTGGTGGGGCAGGGAACGTGGGAAGGGACAGGATTCTGGGAATTTATTTAAATTGTTGATTTTGAGATGATCCGGTTGCTAACGGGGCTTGTGGGCTGCCCCCGCAGACCTGCAGGAGCTGTGCCGGAGCTCCCTGAGCAGCACGGAGTAGCTCCAGGAGCAGGCTGAGGTGTCCCCGCAGGCGTTGTGGTGCTGCCCCCCCAGGTCAGGATGCAGCCACGTCCCAACGGACCTCGGAGGTGATGCCGAGCTGCTCAGACCAGGAGATGAGGAGACCCCCACAGCGGCGCGGAGCCTGCCATGTCCCCGTGAGCAGGCTGAGGTGTCCCTGCAGGAGCTGTGGTGCTGCCCCCCCAGGTCAGGATGCAGCCACGTCCCAACGGACCTCGGAGGTGATGCCGAGCTGCTCAGACCAGGAGATGAGGAGACCCCCACAGCGGCGCGGAGCCTGCCATGTCCCCGTGATGCCACCACCAGCCCCCTGGGTGAGGATGGGGACAGGTCCCTGCTGCTCATCACACAAACACTAAGCTCCAACCTCGGCTGGGTCCAGGGGACTTCAAAGGTTCTTATGTGGTGTCCCCCTGGGGTGAGGACCAGTTCTGGGGGGGATCAGACCCCCCAGACTCCAGGAAGCTGACAAGGTGCCTGCCCCAGGGCACTGGTTTGTGGGCAGGTGCCAGCACTGTCTTTGGGACTAAGAAAATATAAAATTGTTAAGGTTTTGCATGGTTTTTAATCCTTTGGCTCCTGGGTTTCTGTGTCTGAGGGTGGGTGATTCCTGACCCCTTTCTGGGGTCCTCTGGGGTGGGAAGAGGCAGTTTATAGCCAGGGAGGGGTGAGGGGACCTGGGGTGGTAGGGGGTGTGGGCTGGGGACAACAGGGCCTGGGGGGCAGTGGGCTATGGGTTGAGGGTGGTGGGACCCTGAGGTGCTGAGGCTCTGGGATGTCAGGCCATGGGCTTTGGGGTTGTGTAGCCCTTTGACAATGAGCCCTGTGGTGGGGCCATGGGGACCTGGCCCTTTAGGTTGGGACCTGGCCTCTGGGGTGGTGGGGCCATGGGGACCTGGAGTGGCAGGACCTGGCCCCGGGGGTGCGACTTGTCCCCTGGG